CGGCTCCTCTCTCTACCTTTCCGGTGCCGGCGCCCCCAACAGCTCCTGGCTCAACGTCGCTCTCGGTCCACGTTCCGCTCGGACTCGACGTCCCCGTTTTGGCCCCCGCGGGTTCCGAGGATGAGGAAACCAGCTTTCCTCCCTTTGATCTTCACATCCCCCCAGCGGACGAGTTGCACAGTCCCTCGTCTGACTCCGCCGCACAGCTCCCCGTCTCGTCGATGGAATTTAGGCTGCCCATGCCCCGGCGGGGCCCTGTCGGCACGGCATCCATGCATAGTTCCTATCTTGCACGGGCTCTTCGCCTAATGCAGGATTTGCAGCGCCGGGACGCGTCGGCCTGTCGCGACGTTCCGGCGACGGTCGCTGAGCTGAAGTCGGTCTTGCTGGACGACTCTCAGTTTGTAGCAGGGAATTGGCACCACTTTGCCGAGCTGTGGGCCCAGTACCTTCGCAGCATCCCTCGTTGGCCTCAACGGCCTAAGGTTATGGCCTGGTTGCGCCATGGCTATGCGATCGACTGGGTCGACCCCGAGTCGCATTGCCAGCAGTTGCATCCGCACTTCAAGGCTAAGCGCCAGGAGGTGCGCGCTATGCTCGCCAAAGTGCTCCCCAAGGACCAGCTCCTCGGTCACCTGACGGGTAAGCGTCCTAGTTTCGTGGTGTTCCCCAACAGGACGTCCGCCATGACACATGAGGAGTTCACTGACAGCGCCATCCGCAGCCTTGTCAAAACGGGCATGGCGGTATTGTTCGACCCCGCTCTCCATGCTGCGGTCCAGGTGGTCAACCCACTTGCTGTGGTCACCCACCGCACCAAGATGCGACTGGTGATTGATTTGCGGTATGTGAACTCCTTCGTCAGGTATGAACCCGTCCGCTATGAGCAGCTCTCCGACGTGTTAGCCTTTGCTCATCGCGGGTGCTACGCCATAGTGACGGACCTGAAATCCGGGTACCATCACCTGCGTATGCGCCGCTGCGACTGGCCGTTCCTCGCGGTCCATTGGAAGGGTCGCACTTTGCTTTTGACCCATCTCCCATTCGGGTTGGCATCCGCGTGCGCGGCCTTTACTCACATTCAGACCGCATTTTACCGGCCTCTGCGCCATTTTGGTTCGTTGATGGCCTTCCTCATAGACGACCGGTATGGAGCGGCGGCCAGCCCGCAACTCTGTGTGCTCGACGGTCTGATCTTGGCCCTTGTCGGCACAGCCCTGGGGACTTTCTTTTCATCCAAGAAAGCCGACTGGGTACCGAAGCAGACGTAGCGCTTCCTCGGCTTGGAAGTTGACTCTGGCGTGGGTGCTTTCCGTGTTCCAGCTGACAAGCACAGTTATTTTCTCTCGGTTGTGGGTGAACTGCTAGCCGGTGATCGTGTTACTTCCCGTCAGTTGGCTCACATCGCGGGACTCATCGTCTCTATGAGCATGGCCGTGAATCTGTGCCCGGCTTTCACTCGGCGTCTATTCGCCGCCTTGGTGGGGACAGAGTCTTGGGATGACCTTTTCCCTACTCCCCAGGAGGTGCAGGATGAGCTTGAGTGGTGGCGGGACAACTTCCACAGGGTTGAGGGTCGCAGTTGGCCCAGCGCCCGCGAAACGACTGTCGCAGTTGGCAACGCCTCGGAAACCCATGTTTGAGCGTTTTTTCCTGGGGGGGCTATTCCTTACCCCCTTCAGGCGGAGCTCCCCTCGCATCTCATCGGTGCTAGCTCCACCGCTCGGGAGCTGTTCGCCGTACACTCGGTTTTGCGCGCATTGATTGTGTGTGCCCCTGGCATGGTGAAGGCACATCGCCTTTTATATCACACTGACAGTCAAGCGAGCAAGTATTGCATCGACCGTCAGAGGGGCGTCAATGAATGCCTTCCCCTCGTGCGGGCGATCCACCTGTTAGCCTGGGAGCACGACGTGGAGCTCGAGCTTGTCTGGTCGAACAGGGAAGACCCTTGGCAAGCTCAGGCGGACTTCTTCAGTAAGCCTAACGACCCCCATGACTGGGGGTTTAAGCCCGAGGCGGTCGCATGGATCTGCCACCAGTTGGCTCTCGATCCCGCCTCTATTTGCCTCGACGTGTTTGCGTCCGCCTCCACGGCAGTCTGCAAACGTTATTTTTTGCGTTATTTTGATGGTCGGTCAGCGGGGGTCAACGCTTTCTCTCATGATTGGCGTCCGCCGCGCGGCTACGCGTGGGTCAACCCCCCGCCGCGCTTGGCCGGTCGGGCGCTTCAGCGCCTCACGCAATATTGGTCTCCCGCCATAGTCGTGCTGCCCGCCGCCTGTCGTGCGTGGGAACCGCTCATCGCGGCCCTCCAGGACCTTCGCGGCCCTTTGGTGATGCCCCGCGCCCTCACCTGGCACGGTCGGGCGATCAGCCCGTGGTTCGTTTGGGGTACGGGGGCGTCGGGGGCGTCGAAGCCCTCCGGCTGGTATCCATGGGTACGCGTCTTTGTATCCCAACCTGATTGTTAAAGGTTTTCTGCGAAATTTCGGACAATTGTCTAGGCCTCACGGCCTTCCCCCAGCGGACAGCCGGGCTTCGAGCTCGGGGGGCGGTCCACCCCACACTCGCCAATGGCTCCGCTCTGTCCCTTCGGGCCGCTCTGGCTCACGCGTTCGGGCCTTCACCCTACGTGCGGCCTGCACCTGCCGATGCCAGTGCCGCCCTCGGTCCACATACCGCTCCACGGTGGTTATTGAGCGTAGCAGTGTCTGGCTGGCCACGTCGGCCATCGACATCCCGAGCTCATGATGCCTATGCTGCAGGCTCCCTCGTTTGCTGCTGTAGTACGTCAGCGTTTCCGGCGCATCGACCCGCTGGGCCCAATACCGCATAATGCGGGTAGCCTCCATCGCCTCTACCGACCGGTTCTGGGGCCCGCGTCGCTGATCCCAGGCGGGCAACAGTACCTGCACGTCCCCACGCCCATGCTGACGGAGCCAGTCTCCCATGCGGTCGAACCAGTACAGGAACCCCAGTTCCTGGTGACGGTCTATCTCCACCCGTCCGGGCCGGAATTCGGTCGTGGTCTTCAGCGACCATACGTCTAATAACACTGCCCCTTCCACAGGGCGCGTCCCCGTCCTCGCCGCCCACATCGGGTGGCCCCATTCATCCACTATCATGTCCCGCGTGTACGGCCCCAACTGCGGTTTCACTCGCTGGCAGGTTTCCCACAAAAAGGTCAGCACCACGGCGTCACGCATGACACGACCCCTCACCACGGGGTCGCCTTCCCTCGTGAGCTCTTGTTGGCACGCTCTCACCATCCGCCGATACCACTCTATACGCAATGGCTCCGCACTACTTTCTTCTACCCCTTGCACTTGCTGCGCGGCCCGGTAGGCTTTCTTCCAAGCTCGGACACAGTCGGACTTACACGGATTCCCGCTCCCGTCCTCGCTGCGCCAGTCGCCCTCTCGTCCGCTCCGGCGGAACCAACTACTCAGGTGGCTCACTTCCTTTTCCATGGTATTGAAATGCCACACCCTCTGTCCACTCTCGGTGTGGGTTCGTGCACGCCCTTGCCGCTTCTGGGAGAACCATTCCAGAAAAGTGATGACATCCTCCGGCTGGGGCGGGCCTACTTGCCACTCGGCCGGCCGCCGGGCCCACCAACTCACGAACTCTCGCTCGATCAGTTGTTTCCGTTGAGGCAATCTCTTCTCCGCGACTTGCTCCACCCGCGCTCTATGCGCCTCTCGCGCTGTTCGGTACTGCCTATTCAGCTCCATTACCGTCCATTCCTCCCCTCGGACAGCCGTGACGGGCCCTCCGAGCACTTCGTCCCGGGTCTCCTGCACCTCCTACACCCGTAGGCCACTCTTAATCAGTCCGCATACGGCATTTGCCTTTGCAGCCCACAATTGGGCCGAACGGTTGGGTATGCCTGGAAACGGCCCTCTCGCCTCCCTCGGGAGGAAAATGGCAAATCAGGGTATGCGTGGCTAGGCGCTCAAGTATAGCGCCAAAGCAGGAATCGCAACCGTTAAGGAATGCCAGAGGGCCGTTGACGATCGAAACACGAGGCATATGCCCCTCTCCGTTCCGGGCGGGGGCGGACCATGAGGCCCGCCCCCGGATCGGGGCATTTGGCAAACCGTTAGGACGTGCGTGGACGCTACTCGAGACAGAAGCGAACGGGAAGCGTGCGGATGACTGAATGGGAATCGGACGTAGGAAGGTAGCAGCCCCGTAGTAGGACGAGAGGATACGGAGCAAGACAATTTACGGTTAAACGGTCATTTGTTAAGATACACTATACAGCGCTTCCTCCCGCAGGCCCCTTACTATACATGCGGTAATCTTCAACGAGGCGTTCACTGGCAGCCACCATGATCGGCATACCCCCGAGGGCCGGCGCCGCGCGCCCGGGGGACCTCAGGAGACCCCCGAGCAGCTGCGCCGCCCCGGCACCGTGCCTCGCTTCCGGGCGCCTGCGCCAGAGGCCCGTGGATCGGAGACGCTCTGGAAGATGTGCAGGGTGCGGCGCCTCGCGGCAATTGCCATCCGCGCATGTGCCCACTCTAAAACTTTTCTTTTCTTTCGAAAACTTTTTCTTCGAGGCCTTTCGGCTCACCCATCTGCGGCAATCCACCCCACGTGCAAATCGCGACCGCCAAGGCGCAGAGGGACACAATCTGAGGCCACGGTGGTGGACGAGAAACAGGAAGAAAGAAAATTGAGAGGAGAAAGGAGAAAAAGGAAGCCCCTGGGGATAACTTTGACTTTCTTGCATTGGGTGTTTCTTTTGTCGCATCGCGTGGCTAGCGTCCTCCCTCGAGCAGCCACGAATCATCGCGTAGAGTGTATCGACGCGTCGCTGATACCTTTCGAACGGCGGCGCTGCAGGTTTCGGCGCGCCGCCGGCGCCTGGCGGCGGTTTGCTGACGTGGGGCCGTGTCGCTGACGCGTGGCGCAGGGCAGCGGAGGGCGGAGACGGGGAGGATGGCGGCCAGGGGTCAAAAGCGGACTTGGAGGCGCGGGTGGAAGAGTTCATGAGGGAGCAGGCGCGGCTGGAGAGCGGGGGTGGGCTGTTGCTGTTTTTCCCGTTAATTTTTGTGAGTCGAGTTTTGGATGCGCATTAAAGGGTTGGGGGCACATTTTGTTGCGAAATGTTGCGCACTGGGAACGGGAAAATCTTTCAAGAAAACAGAGGAATGTTCAAGGCTCAGGAAAAGTAGGGGCCACAAGGCTAGAAAGGTCCTGGGAGCGCGAAAACGTATATGTGTAGCACTCCAGGGTTCTGCTGCCGATTCGCACATCATCACAAATTGCATGATTCACTGTTAATATGAAATTGTTGTGCTTGTTGCCGTCACAGTGCATGCAGGGAAGAATGGTATTATGTGAAACAAGACATGTTATGGCTACCCGCTCACATGACTAAAGAGTTTGGCATAAGGGTTTCCAATGCTATAAAAAGATGATTCAGAAGTCCAAGTGGAACAGGAAAGAACACAACACAGAGCAGCTTCAGCAGTTACACAGATGGTCAAGGGTGGATTGCATGAGTAAGAGCACATGGGAGTGTCAGACATCATGCCTCAGACTAACACATCTTCACACATGGCTGCAGCCTAAAATCTCACTCCAGTGTACAGTATTATCAAGTGCAGATTGCTTGTGTTGGCTGTGTGGAACTCCTCAAGAACATGAAATCGCTCTTGCATAAGAGTTGAGTATTTTGAAGTATCGGAATGTGACGAATCACTACCCATTCCTCCTTTGGTTGATGTCTGATGCCGTTGTTTTTTGATGTGATGAACAGTTTGCCAGTAATTCTGCCAGTATTTTGCACAGTATGGTTGGACATTTTGCCAACTATTTGCTGTTCATCAACACCAGACGTGTGACAGTTCTTGGTTAAGTGTATCCAAGCAGATAAACGAGCCCAGGCACCATCAGCAGTCCTGAATGGGCCCAAATCCCACAACTGTGAAATCCCTCTGAGTGCATTTCTCCCAGCTGTGAGATATACAGTGCCCAAAAAAGCCACAGCTCCACACCCAACCAAAATAGCTTTCTGGAATTGCTCGTGTTGGTCATGTGTCTGCTTACATCCTAAGAGCTCGACACGTGGGCCCATGTATTTTCTTCTGATTCCCAACTATGGCATCACCTTTGAGAGTCAAGGTGTTGCCCCACTGTCCTGATAGATGTCGACGGCGTATAGTGGTCCCAGTTGTTCATCAGATGATGTGGAAATTCGGCACGAGTTATCATCTGAACAGCAGCATTGTGCCAGCCAATCTCCACAGTGTTCACAGATTGGATGCTCATCGCTCAGACAGGGGCTGCAAAATTGGGGTGGGGTGCACCAAGAGCTCAATTTGCTGCTGCTGAAACTGCTGTTACACGTCCTTGTCATATGCAACTTTGCTGCTGTAGCCAAATAATAATGAATGCAAGCTGCTGATAGCTTTAACTAAGTCAGTTGTGAAGGTAGCTTGTGCCACTTGAGATGTCCTTGCCAGAATCCTGCATCAACTGACTTGCTTACAGCAAGAGTGTTAGCAGCACGTTGCTCTGCTTTGACGATCATTTTGTTTTTGTCTGTCCTGTTGTCGAGTTGCAGCCCTATTGACTGTGATAAATCTTTGAGTGCAAGTCTACTCCACAGGGTGTGTTTATAATGCCATTTGTGAATGTCGAAAAACGTTTGGTGCAGATGTACTCACAAGGACACGCATGGAAATGGAACTAAGTTGGTACAAGTGCTGTGAAACCCTTTTGGTACAGTAAGCACGTGCAGATGCGGTAAACAATGGAAGCTCTCTGACACTGCAGCTGGGCCCCCAGTGCAAGGGCGTGTGCGATAGACACTGCTGTCCAAAATGTCGTCATGACCACTTGGGATCCAGAACTTGAGGACTTTTGACAAATGTTGTCAGGGCATGCACTAATCAATGCCCCCAATTGAGACCATGACCATTATGTGTTGTGGCTGTGTACTTGCAGTTGCATGTTATAGCTGTTCTTTGTGTGAGAGTGTGATTCACACAGGCTTCCCCTTGCTGCTTGTTTTCGTACTGGACCTAACAACAGCCTGTGCTTGTTGCAGAATCATTTGGTGAGGGTCCACCAGACAAGGTAGTTGGTTCTGACGATGTCAGCGATGAGGTGAGTAGGACTGGCAGTCGATGCTGTTTCGTGAACAGAAGTGCTCGTTGGAGTGTCCTTTCTGTTAACAATTATCACAATTGCCTTCACAAAGCACAACATTTTGCTTGCACATGTGCGGAATGGTGGAACATACTGTGACAAACAGAAACTAAGGAAATGAAAAGAGTGAATGAATAATCGAATATGTAATTAAATACATGAATAGACAAGCAATAGGTTGAGTTAAATAGATGCAATGCATGCCTTATGAGTGAATCGGCATGTACTTCCTGCCTGCTGCAGTGTCTTTTTGTGTACTTGCTGTCTCATTCAAGCTCTGGCTTGATGAAAGAAGCACAACAATATGTCCCAGACATGCTGAGGGCACTCAGGGTGTTTGTTGCAAGTCGACAAAGTTCTTACATTTGCACTTGTGCAAGGGATGAATATACCATGATAAACAGAGCACTAAGGGAATAGAATGAACGAATGAATAATTGAATACCTGTCAATGTATGAATACATAAGCAATACATAATAGTCAACTAGATACAGTACCTGGTTTCTGAGAGAACTCGACATGCACTCCCTGCCTGCTGCAGTCTGTTGATGTACTTCCTGTCTCACTGAACCTCTGGCTTGATGAAGGAAGCACAACAGTACGTCTCAGATGTGCAGAGGGCACTCAGGGTGTTGGAAGCCGAACCCCGAGATATGACTCTCAGCGAAGTGAAGCTGACAATATCCATCGAGAGCCCAAGAGAAAGACAGCTGAGAAAAATGGGGATCGAGGTAAGGCCAGGCATCTTGGCATTCAACAGTGGGATAATGGCTTTTTGATATTGGCCACACACTGTGTGCTTCCCAGTCCTAAGTTCAACACATTTTGCTGCATGCATTCCTCAACGTGAATTTGGCGATGTTGGTCGCCATGGGTAGGGCACCATAATATCAGCAGAATGCTGAAAGTTTACGTGCGGACTTGCCCTCCAGCTTTCTAGTCTAACACTTAAAGTACTGTAAAGTACCGTAAAGTATTTGTAGCAGACATTTGGACTTGCAAAATTTGCTTCGATTGCACTTGTCAAAGGTGACGATCGACCACCCTTTCATCTTCAAGGAATCTTGGCCACTTGTTCCCACATCAGAACAAACCTTGATGCAGCTGCAGAAATGTCCATATTGAATTCCACAATGTTTGGGAAAGCATTGTGTTGCAAACAACCAGCATATGGCACCATTGGTATTTTCAGCAAATTGGAGAAATGGCCTAATGGTTTAGCGGTACTCCAGTCCCAAGCACCGATCTTGTATCTAGAACCGCCGTATGTGTCGCTGTCCCCCGTCAACAAATGGCTTGCTTGTGTTATTGTACAGGCAGTGATGAGAATTTGATCGCCAAGTCCTGAGCCAGTGCTTTGCTGACTTGATTTCAAAATTCCTGAGCCTTGTTGCATCGAAAACAGTGTGTTTCTGTTCTGAGACACCTTTGCCAATTGCCTTGGCAGAGTGTTCTCCCCTGCTAGATCTTGTTCATGCACAGCAAATGCACAGGCTTTGAACTCAGCCTCCCTTAAGAGGTGCACATCCTGTGCAGCCAACGATGCTGTGGGCACATCCAATGCTCATGATAGAATTATGTTTGCCCTTGGAAGGGAGGGGAGGGGAGATGGGGCGAAAGCAGATGCACACACCCTATGTGGGCCATTGTATGGTGTGGCTGTTTTCAGTTGCTTTGTATTTTGTTGCGAGTTTGTCACAATCCGACCGATCATCCTCAGGTACCTAAGTGGCTACGTGGCATTTGTGTGTCTGGTTACCCAAATTACTCGCATGTCTTCTATACTTTAGACAGACCCCAAATTTGACATCCATTGTCAAACCAGTATTTGCGTCATAACAGTTTACAGGTTGAAGGGACATCATAGGGTGGACTGAGTGGCCAAGGCCTCTCAGGGGCCTGTGAGCTAATGCTTGCTGAATTAAGAGCCCCTACTCTTCATCCTTTCAAATTGATGTCCTTGACAGCACCAAGATGGCTTCGCGTGCTGCAAATGGCTCTTCCCGGGCATTCATACACTAGTGCTGAGTTGTGCAAGTGTTTAATGTCGATGGCCACTGTCTCTGGCAGCTCATGGGACCTAACTGTGATGACAGAAACACGTCGACTCAACTCCATGGGGCGATGCACTTTTTGTGTGTCAGTTATCCCTGTCTGAGTCATGGTCCGAGCCGTGAGCCACAAGTGTCTTGTCAATTAGAAGAGGCAGCATGCTTCCTTGAGTATTATGCCCCTATTTTGTCGCAGATCTCCACAGTTCAGCCGAAACCTAACTGTTGCCCAATACCATTGAAACAATATGGGGCAAATCGTGGTATAGTTTGGAATTGCTGATTTGTCCAGTTCTGGTTGTGGCTTTAGAGTATTGGTGCTGCAAGAGAGGACAGCCTGCTGAGGCGCAGAGCTGTCGCCCAATCCCGATCATTGCAAACACGCCATGTGCTCATTGCATACACTTTGCAAGTTTGCTGTGGCTTGTGAAAGTAGTGCAGCTATGAAGATAGATCAGATCAATGAGTTCTGGGAGTCGACGGCTGTCGACTGTGAACATTTTTCAGCCTTGTCTGAGCTGCTCAGTGCAATATTTATCCTTTATATTGGAGTTTATGTTTCACACAATTCGGTGCTTACTTGCACTGCTCAAACTGGTGAGAACTGGTGAAATCTGGTGAGAATTACCAACATGCCACATGTTAGCTTGGGACCTAATTGTGTCTTTATGGGCATGCTTTCAGGCCTTTGTGACCAGGGATCTGCTGCAACATGTTTTGGCTAGTAGCAGGCCGGAAACATGTTGATAGACAGCAGTTCCAATTGGCTTCCCGGCCCTCTTTCTGTTCTAGAGTGCCTCTGACACATTTTCACTTTAGACAAACTCGAAAAGTGGAAAGTCGAGAGTAACACAGACATTGTGATGGCCACACTATGCCTTGTGGCATTCTTGTATACCCATTCAGTAGTCATCATCACAACACATCCGAATGCCATTATTTCAGCATCAATGCTGACAGGCATCACAGGCAGTACAGCAAAGTTTTGAAATGTCTTGCAACACAATCTGATCACGGGAAACTTTTGCAGAATGAGTCTGGTGCTTCACGAGATGAAATGGCCGTTGCCCTGGAGGAAGTGGCCAGGGGTGCAACACCCAACGATCGCATCGCTTTGAAGGCGCTGGCGGAGGAGATGAACGAATGGACTTCGGTCTGGACACAGGAGGCAGACAACGCGGAACCTTCGAGTAGGGCTTGATGAGACACTCTGCTAGCAGGAGGACGGCAGATTGTTCTGCCTAAGCCATTGTGCCAAGCAATTTTGTACAGACCCATTGTCAACACAATTAAACTAGGGCAATTGGCAGTTGGTATCTTGCTGAAATAGATAAGGATGAAAGAGATGGAGGTGAGAGGGACTGGGGGTCAGAAGGACAAGAGGATTGGCTGCTGAAAGCTGTTCGTCTCGTTCCGAGGCATGCTGAGCCTGGTGTCCCCAGTGGGTCTAGTTCCACATCGAGTGCGGAACCAGCCCAATGGAGCCCAACCTTGGGCGCTGCTCTTCTTGACCTTGTCTGCATTGGCGGCAGGACGGATGCCATGCGCATGACACAGCACTGCCTCACTTGGTGACTTGTGTGGGAACGTGTTGAGTCCTACATCGCTTGCTATTTTGGATAGCATTGGGTCGCTAACAACGCGCACTGCACCACCCCAGGGAGGTCTTCTTTTGGTGGCGAGAACTCCACCGTCGGGCGGGGAATGATCAATGAATACGAATTCGGTTCGAACCCTGTTGGGTGGTACAGGGTGGCACCTGTGGTATGGCCAGCGAAAGGGCCAAGGTCATGGCCCTCGGCTGGCCGATACAGGAATCACAACGCATGGGTGACTATCAGCGCGATGCACGATACCTACCTCGACAGAGTCCAACGATGCTTTCGTTGCCTGCTGGCAATGGTACCCTCGCCTGGACTAGTGTTTTGGTTGGATGGCTCACAGTTTCATACGCCCGTTTTCCTCTCTGTCCCTCACTGCTGCACTTTCCTTTTTGTTCATCTGGTTGAACCTTAGGTTTCCTGGTTTTAGCAGTTTTGGCTGGGATTGTTCGGTGCTGGAAAAGCTGCCGGGTTTGTATATACGTTTGTGCAGCGTGCCCATCTTGGACCCTCAGCATGGGTGGTTGTACTTGTGGATCTCATGGGTGGCGTCCCAACCGCCTTTCCTTCCCTTCTGCTTGTCCGCCTTTCCAAACGATGAGTGTCGTCCCCCCCAACTATCCAAAGAGTCAAGAACCAATACCCTTAACCCCACGTGTTGAGTTCATGTTCGGGTACACAGAGCGATTGCCACGCACTCATGGATACAATTTGATTCGATTTGAGATCACATTTGGGCTTCAGCGCCAATATTCCCCTCGCCTGTTCATGGGCTTGCTCAGAGGGGTGTTCAAGCACCATGTTTGCACAGTGTGCAGGAGACTGGTGCAGCATACGCCGTTCAGCGGCCAAGTGTGCAAATCACCATTTGATCATCTTTCCCAGAATGTGCCAAAGGACAGCCTTTCCATCAGTTTGGCGGCGCGTGGCTGCTGGGCGACTTTGGCGTCAAAAATTTGTCAACACCCCTCCCGTGTCAACCGAGTTGCATCATGCCGGCAGCCTGATTGTCATCCGCACAAGCGCAGCATGAGCATCATAAAGTCACGCACGTTGGACAATCCGAGGACTCGACAATTTAACACAATTCGACCCAAAGTGCTACGCATCAATGCATGGTAACCGCAGCACTTCAAACAGCAGAGACTTTTCTTTCAGACCCCTTGACACCCTCCCTCGACAGTACTTCCAGTCAGTGAAGAGCGAATTGAAGAGCACTATTGAAGATCAGGATTCCGCACAGCCGCATGACCGTACTTGGCGACCTGGCGAAGATGCTTCCAAGTTCTCCACCAGGGTCCATTAGGGCATGCTTTCGATCTGCGCCGCGGCAAAAGGCTGCAGAACGTCATGAAGCGAGTCTCTCACCTCCTCCATAGTTGGACGCTCGGACGGCTCCGTTGAGAAGCACCTCCGAATCAAAGCTTTCACGCTGTCGGGGCAGTCATCGGGAATCTCGCAGGGCTCAGCTTCGAGTGCTTTAGCCATATGCACGAACCTCTGGGTGCGCAGTCCCCTACCAAAAATTGAGCACTCGCGCTGCTGCGTCGGCCACACTCCGCACATAACGATTGCAAAGCTGAAGACGTCACTCGCGCAGCTGTGGGGCCACCTGTAGAACATCTCCGGCGCCAGATAATCAAAGGTTCCTTTGAGAACTCTGTTCGTGCTTGTCCGCCACTCCTTGGACAGGCCAACTGCGATCCCCAGGTCGCACAGCTTTACGGTGCATCCCTTGACACCAGGACAGCTGAAAACCAAGAAATTTTCTGGCTTCACGTCGCAGTGGACAACCTTGTGCTCGTGCAAATGACATAGCCCCAACGCCGCCTGATAAAGCGCATTCACGGCTGACCTTTTGTCGAGGTGCGTGACCCATTTGGACCAAGCTCTCAGGTCGCAAGCTGTGTTTCTGTCGACAAGGTCCGCAAGCTCCATGATGAGCAGGCCGCATCGTGCCCATGCGTGCACGCGGACAATATTCGGGTGCGCGCCCGTCCCGTAGGCATGCTCGGCGTTCGAAGCAACTTCGGCGGAAAACCGCGCCAGAGCTTCCAGCCTCTGGCAGTTGGTGGCGCTTTCTGCTGGCAAGCGGACGTGCTTGATGGCGGCGGGCATTCCTCTCCACGTGGACGCGTACACTTCCGAGAACCCGCCACTTCCAATGCGCGAGTCGGCTTTCAGCGCCCCATAGATTTCCGTGAGCTCGTCGCCCGTTATCTCTGGCACCTGCTGCAGCAAACCCTGGTGCCTGCGTCTGACGCGCGCCCACATCCCATCTGTCTCGCCAGTCGCTTCCCGCTCCGATAGAACGAGCCTCAGCTTCGCCTGGATGAAGCTGCAGTCATTCTGCAATATCTCATCAGGAATTTTGGCGCTCATGGCCCGACAAATTGCGGGGTGGCTGTTTTTCAGATAGCTTCGGACAGCTTCGATGAGTTCTTTGACGACGCCTTGGGCTTCTTCGATTGTGTAGAAGCTTCGCAGATCGAAGTCCTCCGAATGCCTGCGGACCAGCTTCTTTGCAGACAGGAATGTTTTTTTGAGTTCCTTGCCGGCCTCCGCTTCTATGCGCTGTCCGCCCCCACCCGCCGACCTGACTTGCTTGATGATCAGCAATTGCTCGTGCAGCCATCTCAGCACCCCTGCGTTGTACCTCACCCTCGGGCGGCTTTCCGAACCTTTGCCCTCTTCTTGGTCAAGGTCCCAGTTGGCTGCAAAGTACGCCCCCATTTCGTCGGCAATGTTGGACACCTCCTTCAAAAGTTCCCCGTCGTTTGCAGCACCTCCGGTGCCCTGCAATGAACATGGGCAAGGAGCATTGTGGGACTTCCGTGACATGAACACATGGAGAGCACAGGAAACGGTGCGCAACTTTCGTGGAGACCGTATTCTGCTCAAGGCGCACATTCGTAGTTGTGCATATCTCTGTGTTTGGTATCATTTGAATGCCCGTGTATGCTTCCTCAAAATCGCGTCCCCATCTGAAGTTTTGAATCCAACACGTTCGTTTAACCTCGGACCAATTGATCCCACCTTGGAATATTGAATTCTATCTATGGAACATCCAATGGCATGATTGTGCTAAATCCTGCAGCGAACTTATCAAGTAGGGCTGTCAATCTATGGATACAGAAGAATCATTCTTCTGCAAAATACGCACCGCGCCAGAATGGCATATCTTGGCTAACAAAAATCATGTGCGGCCTCTTTGTGCATAGAGACAATAAGATTGAGGATATTTTTCACTAATGGAACGGCTTTCGGACCAAGGATTCATAGGTAAGATTAATTTCAGCAACCAGAAGAAGTTGCATGAACATTCTGTGGGTGCTACCTCAGAAGCTCTCCGTCTTAAGATAAGCAGCAAAGCTGCCGACATTGAGACGAATGTTGCCAGCCCTAGAAACAGACCTGCAAAACCAGTGAAATTCATGAGATAGACAACGAAGCAGTGCAATTCACGATTAACATAAGATGATTTCATGAGGATACGTGCCCATCCTCCATGCTTGGAGTTTTTTTTGCAGGCGCGGAATCGAATGCGTTGCAGCAAATATTAAATACACTGTCAAAAGTGCCGAAAGGGTTAAAAATACATTTTACATTGATGCTCCCATCCCCGTCTTCCCCCAGACTCCTCTTCCGTTAGAACTTCAAGGGAACGTTGACTTCGCTCATTTCTGGTTCGTATACGATCTGTGAATATACGATAATGGTAATGGCGAAGCCTACGTCTTATCATTGGGTGAAGAATACTTGGAATGGTTCCGTTCTTGCTCCTTTCTGCTAGTGAATGTATAATCACGGAAATGAAGCGACCAATGTCTAAGCAATGCCCGCTGTGGTGGAAACCATGCTATATTTCAGTAAGCCACCTTCACTCAACTACGAGTTCCCGGGAGGCTCAAGGCTATAAATTTAGATGCGCCCGCTACAGTAATTGCGCTGTTCATGAGAAAAGTGCGTGCGCGTTCACGGCTTCTATTCTAAAATTTGTTCGGTGCGTTAAATCAGCCAGTTCCGGGATTTGCCTTCTGCTTCAGATTTGAAGCCGCCGACTATGGTCATTCCTTATTCATGGTAGCTGCTCTGGTTGATCCATTTCAGCTCCCTGCTTTGCCAACAGAAATAGCAGGAAACACAATTATGATCGTAAATATTCCTGAGCAATATGAAAAAATCAGCACGTAGGACATATGTCCTGTAAGGACAAAACATGCACAGAACGTCGTTTTGTCGATACTTGTAATTTAGATTTCTCCTGCTTTCTGTTATTGCCAGGTATGTTTGCAATATTCCTCAAAAATGTGTTCTGGAATCCCATTTCTGGGCTCCTCAAAATTTTGGGACCCTTGAAATGGCATTGTCATTCTCTCGCAAAGATAGAATCACTGGCGAAATTTTGCGTCTTCAAAACCCCACGCATGTAATTGCGATCGAAACAAGAAATTGGTTATACAGTTGTCCCAAGTTAGCCAATCACGTAATCTCCACACAACAATTTAGTGCAATTAATACTCACCCAGGTTCGATGTTGTATCCAAATTTGCCTTGGAACTCACAAGTAACTTGCTTTCTCTCCTCGCACCGGTGCTCA